TAAAACCCAGTGGAAATAACTCCTTGTTAAACACAAGTATCGTCAGAGGCTTTCAAGCTATTTTCTCCTGTGTAGCATCTTTCAATTGCAACTCATTTAATTTGGTTCAAAACTATCTTGTCCTATCTACTGAAGTAATTCAAGTATTTTCAGCACCAGCTGGAAGGAGCAGATGTGAAATAGTAATATTCAGAGAGTTCCTACTGATGAAAAAACTATTTGCAAAGGTTCAGCTTCTGCAGTGGCTAATGCTTTTGAATCATTTTTGTCTGTCTACAGACAAGGCTGAAGTCTTTTAGCAAGACGAAATTTGGAAGCATGTTGATTACTCCACAACTATTATTTGCACTCTCTGCTGCCGTAACTCTATGTGGAAACTATTTTTTAGACAAGTACTTACGCTACTACATCTGAATTGGCCACCTTCTCTGATGAGGCTGAGTGCTTAAAACCAAAGTGCTAGTCTACAGGCTTTAATCAATCTGTGCAAGCTTTTTTTTTTTTTTTTATGAGCAATTCCTGTTACTCCACCTGCCTCTTGCACAACTTTTTCATTATCAAATCGTTTACCGCACTGCTGCTTTCAGCATAACTGCATGAAGTACCTACACTTTTTTTTCTCTTCTTTGTTCCTCTTCTGTTTTTAGCCTAGACCTAGGCAGTAGCATAACAGATCTCTGTGGGATTTTGTAGTAAAACAGCTTAAACAGAAATCTCAGGGAGAAGTATAACTTAACTTTTATAGAGAAGTAAAAATTGATAGACTGAGAAGGAAACGTACTACCATTTCATGAATTTCAGATGATGTGAAATGTGCCATAACTGTGCATACATTGTGGAAACAATAAGAGAAGATAAAATGAAAATTGTTAATAAATAAAGTCTAGGGTAAATTAGTAAAACTGCGCAACTAGTTGTGTTATAAGAGTCTGCTGAAAAGACCTATTAAAATTGGATGTAAATTTTGAGGCTTTAATTATAATTTTATGTTGTACATCTCCAAAGAGGGATAAGGATTAATTTCAGTCTGAGATTTCCTTGTAGACACGAAGTCAAGCAGAGGTGTGACTGCAGTAAAGCTGTTAGCAAAGATATGGTATATTAAGCAGCACAAACCAAGAGAGCAAAAATGGTTCTGTGCTGAGCTCAAAAACTGGGGACCTTCATTTCCCATACAGCTGTGCTGGCTTCCGGACTCTCATTTCAGGCCTTCAAATCAAAAATATGGTTATGTTAAACATGTGAAGCGTCTAATTTGCCTGTGGTATTTTAAAGACGTCACACCTTTTATGCTAAATCCCATCCCAGTCATTTAATTTGGAGTCAGTCTTTGCAGAGAGGAGGAAAAGGAAATATACCCTTTCATGCTAAAACAGATCACTTTTCACGTATTCTATATATTCTACCTCTTAAAGGAAAAGATTCCTAAGTGCTGGTGGAAAACAGATACAAGCTATCGAGTGGGGAATTGGACCAATGATATAAATACATACATATATATACATACACACACACACACACACACATATATCTCCTCTGACATGTGCTTGAGGGTTTCAGTAAAAACTTTATCACATCACTATGTTCTGCCCTTGCAACAAGGGAACACGGTAAATTATGAAGCCTTTCTAGGTTGCATAAACTTCATGCATGTAGAACAGCTAAGCGCGCTACTGACAGCACGTCTAAATACCATTATCTTTGCAATACATTTCCTTAGCCTCTGACCTGTAAAGAGTCCACCACTTGAAAGACACTGGAGTTGCTCATGACCACAAGACACTGCCCCACTTCTGCAGCCTGCACTTGAGACACGAACATTGCCTGGGGCATACTGCTTGTTCACTGACGTTGCTCACGGGTCAGTTGAAGACTGGCTCACAGAAAGAAATTGCTAGAAAAGTTTTCTGATGCGCTCTCAGATTTGCCCTAGACATCCCAAACAAGGACTGGTGAGCTTGGTCCAAGGGATGAAGGGATGGTCGTAATGAAACTTTCTGGGAGAGGCTGCAGACAGGACACATCTTCAGCATGATTCATCAGCTAGGGAAACAGTAGCATGAGGTAAACAGGCACCTGGTAAAACCGTTCCTCTGCCACAAACTTGATTCCAGACATTACCAATCTAAATTCTGCCCTGGCACTTATGTTGGAAGGTTTTATTTTTCTGAACTGCTTTTGTACTGTTTGTAGTCTTTCAGCCTCTCCTTTTTTAATAGTGTAGCTTTAAAGAAAAAAAACTTCTGGATTTTCATCTATTCAGGGAATGAGGATGCATGATTTGATATCAAACTGACCTCACATCACATGAATTTATTTTGACAACTGTTTCAAGTTCTCGAAAACCTTTTCTACTTCTTTCTGGCTCCGGAAACAATCAGAGTGCAGTGTGGCTAGTGTTGTCCTGAAATACTTTTTGTAACTTCAGCTTACCAGCCTCAACTAGCAGACTGATGGCCTGTTCCTTTCTATTCTGCTCCATATCCCTGTGTTCCGTTTCAATGGCTTCATTAGAAGAAGGCAACAAATAAAAACCGATCTTTAATTCAGTGATGTATGCCGCATACTCAAACATCCAATTGAGTAGTACACAACTCAAATGATCATAAGGTCAGACTAATTTACTTTAAGCCGTCTTTGGTCCTGGATACAAAATTCAAGCACAAGACACACCACGTTGTCTTTAGAAATTAACATTTGGATGTGTGTGCGCGCAGGGGCGTCTAAATTGTAGAGCATGTTAGAAAATGGGCCACTGAGCTTAAATATTGTGGCCTTAACTATTTTTAAAGCAAATTACATTTCAGTTGATGGGGCATTTGAGAGCCAAACGCAGTAAGGTGGATTTTAACTTATTACACATTTTTACTAACTTGAAGATTATCCACATGGACTGATTGGTGTTAAGAAGTCACATCCCTTTTCTTTGCTAGAAACAAGGATTAAGCATTTGATTTTTGATTGAACATATTGTTATAGTTTGAAAAAGCACAACATAAACCAGAACAACTGTGCCCTAACAGTGAAGCACTTTTAACTGGAACTTAGCTGCTTCTGAACGGAAAGGCACACATAATTCAATCAGAAGCATGCAAAACAGACTCTTCAATCCAGAGTGCAATTAGGAGGTATCAGGAGCGATCATTGGGCCGCTCTTAAAAAAAAAAAAAAAAAAAAAGTTTTTCTTACCACAAATCTGAATCTGTCCTTAAAGACATTCTTAAATTTAGCAGGTTTGCCTAACTAAGATACGGTATAGTCTCAGTCTAGCTATAACCCAAACAGTAAGATTTTTGCCATTTTTAAAATTTAACTGCTACAGTTCAGCAGAAAGTCTTTTACTGTCTCTTTTCAGTGATTTGTATTTCAGAAGATGAAAAGACAATTGCATAAGGAAAAATAAAGTTTTGGAAAAAATAGCTGTAATTTTTGTCCTAGAAACCTGTCACAGCACTAGTTGCACGATGTGATGTAACTGTGCCTCCTTTGGAACGTTCCAGTGAGGTTCTGGGGGTCCAAGTGCGCTTCTGTCACCATCCTCACCCTGGAGCACCTAGATCTGTCTGCAGAAGGAACACAGGGTGAAAAGAGCTACTCTTCTGGCCACAGCTAATTCCACAGACATGCATGCATAATATTTTTAAATCTAATGCTGCAACTACCTTGTGGGATGGTGAACCCATGGCAGCAGAAGACATCAGATGAGAGTTATTTATTAATGCAAATTCTGCCTCTAAATTTTGGTAGGAAAATGGTATTTGGTCATTCTCTAAGTCCTGTGAGGCTGAAGAATTCTAACCACGTGAACTTCCCTTATGTAATGAGGAGACTGAACCACAGGAAGTTCCATCTGAACCTGAGAAAAATCTTCTTCACTGTGAGGGTGACAGAGCATTGGAACAGGTTGCCCAGAGAGGTAGTGGAGTCTCCTTCCCTGGAGATATTCAAAACCCGTCCGGATGTGATCCTGGGCAATATGGTCTAGAGGACCCTGCTTGAGCAGGGAGGTTGGACTACATGATCTCCAGCGGTCCCTTCCAACCTCAACCATTCTGTGATTCTGTGACTCCTGTAACAGACACACAAAACTGTTTGCTTCTCTAGCCGCTAACTACAAGTCCTTTTTTGTCTACGCTGGGAAATTGCATCACGTTAATCAACAGCATTCAGCATAACATGCAGCGTGGCTGTGGTAAAAATAACTGGCTGACAAAATGTGAAACTCGACAATCTATTACAAGTCACACTTAACCATTATTCTAATGACACCCGGGAGAATAAAACTTGATGGCTTTTTTAGTTCCGCTCTAGGATTTTCCTTTTTTGGTTCATACAACACTAACAAAATAGCACTGTACAACTGATCACAGTATTTCACAGTGCCAAAACATGTATTCAATGGGATTAACATTTAAACAGTTTTGAAATTAAGTGTTACGACTTTTCAAACTTGGTTTCCTGGACTGGCCCCCTATTGGTAGAAGAGACCATCTGCAGATGGTGTAGATTTCTGCAATGTCTCAATCTTGCACAGTCCTCATCAACCCAACACGCCTTCTTTGGTAGGTGTTCATTAGAAAAGCTTTATCTGTAGTTCTTGCCAGGATAATTAAAAAAAAAAATCTGATCTAATATAACACACTACTACTAAAAACAGAGGGGTCTACACTATTTTTAATCTCTAAAATAATGTGATTTCTATTTATCTTTTTTTTTTTGCAAGAGGTGTTGGTTTTTTTCCCTTAAAGTATCAAAGACTATGAATTGTTGGACTGAATCTGTTGAAGTTGTTAATAAGGAAGTTAACAATAAAATTTGAAAATGAGTACGTATGCAAATACTTCTAAGATCACTTACCAGCCCAGTATAGACATATCCCTCAGTAAAGTATCCCTCTGGTTGCAGTTTAAGCAATCTGAAGGAAATAGTTGGCTTTTAACTTTGAAGCTTAGAAGTAGCTGTATTTATTAGCTTTCTTTAATTCACGGGAAGAAACCATAAATTTTTTTAAATGTTTATTCAGATTAGGACATCTCTTCTCATGATACCTGTGGTATGTTCAATATACACCTTCCCCACTCCTTCAAAAATATTTAAGCTTTGAGGTAATTTAGGATAAAATACCAGAACACTTGAAAAATAAAAGCAAGTAAAAAAAAAAAAATTTAGGCAGGATAAATAGAAAAATATTCTGTCTTCCTTTCACTGCTAATAGTTTCAACATAAATGCATTTCAAAAAGCAAAATAATCAAATCACTGAGTCCAAAATTAAGTATATTCCTCAAGCAAAATTGACTTCAGCAATCATTTCACCTGAGCTAACATTTCAGGATTGGTCCCATAGCAGTAGGAAAGACAAAGCATCCAGGGACAGATCCTTCCACGTCATTCTACTGCATACACTGAGGGCAATTGGGGGGGGGGGATCCCACCACACCCCCACCCCCCGCCCCAAACCCTTTGCTGTCTTTCTGGCTCTGTGACAGCAAAGGTGGCCACTTTCTATAGCAGCATCTCTATTCACGGCAGAGTCAGTACTAGCTGACAGATAACATGATTTTATCTGCTCACAGGAACCTATACCAAGAGATGGGGAATGCTAACAACAGTGTCCTGCTGTCCCAGAGGGATCTTTAGCTTTGAGGAGCGTAATCCAGAGACACAAGGCACTTGCTGGGAAGGCCTGGTATGAAAGCTGTGGGTTTAGAAGACTCTGTCCTTTGCCCATTCAACCAATAAGAGAGGGAAGGTCCCTCTCTTAGGGGATGCCATTCTTCCTCTGTTCGATGATTCCAAAGGAACTCTGACTTAAAACGCAGTATCTTCTGGCACACACGAAGGTTCTTTGGAAAGCCAAGATTTCACCTTCTTATTTACATGCTATACCGGAAGACTGAAATACTCTAAATAGGATATTTTTACAGTAGCAAAGATATGATCTGGGAACGACATAGGCAACAGAGGTTATAGTTCTTAAGACAGAATGAAAAAAAGCTAATCGGAGTCCTCATCGTCGAGGTATTCCTCTGCATTACTTAATGTTCGCACTGTACCTGGAAAGAAACAAAGCATTGTCTTAATTTGGGATAAAATCATACAAAACCTCACATCTGCCGTGCATGCAAGCCTCCATCTGAGAAATACGATTCCCGCATTGTTTAAAGGATGCTAGGGCTAAGACACACAGGTGCTGGGGCTGGAGACCGCATCTGAAAGGCAGGGCTAGGCCAGTAATCATATCTGCTACATGTGCGGGGTAGACTTGGCCTGCAGGGGAAAGCACAGTAAAATCAAATCTGCTGCTGTTCTGCTTCTCTTCAGTGACCTCCAGGAGCCATCTCCTGGCTCCCTGGAAGCTGTGCAGCCGAGCTGGAATGTTTAATTCTCTTTTCTGTATTTAGTACCTTTAAACTGCAAAGGAAAGGATGAGCGAGTTCGTGGAAGAGTTGGTTTACCTAGGAGTGCTTAGCTGACTGTCATTCTCTGCTTAAAAATCAGACATAGTCCAAGTATTCTCTCCACTGCCCCTCTTCCTTGCCTAGCTTTTTTCCGGAAAAAAGGTTTTTGAATTTACCTGAGCTTATGCTGCCAAAGGAGGGCAACAGAAAACAGGGGTACTGAAGTATCTTTCTCCAGATTTGTAGCATTGCCAGGAGAGGTACATTTATCTTTCAGACTGTACAAAGACACCCAGCAAAAGCTTTTTGTGACAGGTGATTACTTTCCTACAGATCTTCAAAGGGGCTGAACTCCTTAACTATAAGGGAGTCCTGGGCCAGAACAGCTGCTCGTGGATTATTTAGTACATCCTAATGTATAATATATATATATAGCATTGTATATTATATTGTACTAGCGGGAGCAAGAGACTATCAGATCCTAGTCAGTCATAGTCTTGCCACAATATATGAAAAATATCAAGTACAGACATGACAAGACTGGCATAATTCAGAAACGTGCTAATCATCTTACCCTAAACTTCTGGAGAAAGAAGAGTGAGTACATTTCAAATTGACCCACTGAATTGTTTTCATAAAAGAAGTCTAACGGAAGAAAACAAAAGGAAGAAACTGTAGAGTTCTGTCCTCAAGGGGCCATACTTCAGGAAAACATAAACTGTATTGCTTCTATATAATACTTTTTCCCCTCCCTCAGGGGTACAAATGACAACCTTTTTGCATTTCTATGACAACATTTTAACAACTCTCTCCTTTTCAGAAGGTACCTTAGCAGTCATTACCTGTGAATAAGTGCTTATAGGCATAACATAGCTATATTTAAATAGTTGTAAAGTAAGCTTCTTCAAAGCAAATTAGTATTTTACAGAAGGATTATGCAGAAGCAATAGCTGAACAGCAACAGATTTGAAATTGGGGACAGGAAAACTTCTGAAATAGGACCAAATTTTTGAAAAGGAAAGATCACTTTACTGACAGACATTGGAAATACTGAAATGTGGTATCAATCAACAGACATGGACAAGAGAAATGAAAGCAGATGACCAAGAAAATATATGAAAAGCACACAGCTGAGTAGTGTCACAGAAATTACAGAATGCAAAATTAAGAGAGAGTAACAAGCAGGAAAACTAATACTGAGATTGTAGTGAAAACTGAGAACACTATACCAAGGCAAACAAGAAAAGATTAGTGTGTCAGAGTATAAGAGCCTGGTAACAGATCAAAAATTAGTTAGCTCTGAAACAAAAATAATTTAAATGAAGTGAAGTAAATTCATCAGGGAAAAAAAAAAAAAAAGGTAAGTTTCCTAAAGTCAGAAAATGAAACATTAATATAATTAATAGGGACATTAGACAGAGAACAGTCTAGTACCAGGTACCTACAACTGACATGAGAAGATTAAAAAAAAAACACTGCTTCTAATAGGAATTAACTAATATTAGGAAAAAATGTGCCAACATGGGAAACCAGCTTTAGTCATAGCTGCTTTCTTCCGAGTCAAAACTGATGTAAATAATTTGTCAAGACTTTCTGGGAAACTCCGATACTACTTCTACCAAAAAGCTGGACAGTGTTTTTGCTGTAAGCCCTCTTCTTGGCCCTCTAAAAGGACTATCAGTTGTTCCACCATGTTATTCCCACAGCCTATCACCCATGTGTTCACATTCCCTCTGTTCTGGTGTTCCACACTAACCCTGCAATATGGTTGCTAGACTTGCATCCCACTGATGCAAGTTGTAACTCCACCTGTGCCTTTAAGTCATTTCTCATCTCACATGTAATTCACCTAGGGTTTCTACCAAATTTCAGCCCTTTGAAGGCTAAAGGAAACAATTCCTATGTGATTCTGAACAATTCAGTCTTTGTTCAGCTTTTAAAAATGGACTTGTACCTGTACAACTCTTCTCTACACAGCTACTATTACCACTATTAGGAGAGATTAACACAGGAGGTAGTGAGACTGTTTTGGTAAACAGCTGAAAGCTTTTCCATTTTCTTTATTTCTGTTTCTCAGTCAAGCAGATAGACATAGAAATAAAATAAGAAAGACAACCAGGAGTGAGATGCAGAGAAAAGAGGAGCTTCTGTTGATGTTGGCTTAGTTTGCAAGAAGAGACAGGTGGAACACAGCACATTCTTTCACTCTCATGTCCTGCCCCTAGTGGTGCACAGCTCTTATGGGAAGTTTCCATCCTTGCTTTTCTTCCTTTCCACCACTCTGAAGAGCCCCTTCTTCTAGCCCCTTTCTGCTACTATTTTGTGTGGAGTCATTAACACTGAATGTGATGAACCACAGACCTCTACCATACCTGTGCTCAACTGCTACTTAACCTCCCCTTCCAAACACAACTTTTAGTCCACGTAGCTCCAGACGGGATTTTATGGCTATCAACACGATACTTGGTTGAGAAGTTAAATGGTCCTCTAAAAAGGGAAAATGTATTAAAAGAATAAAAATCAGAAATACCTGCACTTTGTTTCTTCTTAAGCAGGGAAGCACAAGCTGCATTGGTCGCCATGTCTAAAGCCAGTTTCTTCTCATTGTTTTTCAGATCTGTTCTTGCCCCTTTTATAACAGAAAAATTTCCATCATGAATCACTCGGCTAGTCTTAGCTATTTCTTGAACAACGGTATTATCATACGAGTTTCAGTAGTATGGGTAAAACAGATCAGAGTAACGGACAAAGGTATCTCACCTGTGGAACAATATGAAGCAAACTAAAGGCTACGGGTGTTCTTCCATAAGCTACAGTTGGCTAGGGAACTCACTGACTGCTCTCTCTTTCTGGGAAGCAGATCTCACTGCTGTTTTGCAGTTAAGCGCCGCATTTTGTCTGCCAAGCAGGGTGAAATTTATCTCGAGCAGGTCAGGAATCTACTTTCCAGACAACTGCCAGAAGTTTCTGCAAGGCTTACAAAGTCAGACAGGTGAGCTAGCTAGGGACTGTACCTATATTATAGGAAAGTAGTTAAAAAACATAGATTAATAAACGTTCAGGAAGCCTGTCTGCCACACAGTTTGTTGAAATCTTGGTGAAGATCTTTACCCTTTGCCAGCAGCACCTCTACAATATCTGCATAACCTTTCCATGCAGCAGCATGCAAAGCTGTGTCTCCCAATTTGTTCTGTGGAGTTAGAGGGAAAAGCAACAGGATTAAAATACAGCAAAAACATCTCAGCTTGCACCAAGGATGAATAACATCACATCTCTAGTGTAAGAGTCCTACCTGCTGGTTTAGCTCTAGGTTTGGCTGGGTAAACAGAACATCCACTATATCTACAGGGAACAGGAGAAAATAAAAGGAAAATTTAGTGGAAACAAAATAGGCCTTTTTTGCATTCACACTACAATCTTATTAAAAATTCAAAGAAGGAAATATCCAATCAGCTAACAGAATTCTCTAACAGCAAGACTGCACTGAACAAAACACTGTCAGTCGTAAGGAAATATTAAAGCATAAGAATACCCCCGAAAACTAACATTTTTTTGGTCTGTCCTTCCTCCCCACTCTATTTCTAATTGTCACGCTGATTAGAATTGCTGCTTTAATATCAACAACAGCAAAACACAACATCTGATGGATCTGAACTGCCCATGTGGCTTTAACTTTTCTTTTAGAAAATTAGAATGACAAAGAACGACACCGGGTTTATTATCTAATACTGCAATTTTAGCAGTTTGTCCAACCAGCAAGTCAAGAAAGTGAGAGGACACTCATTTCAAACGCATCTTCTCATACCTTTATGCCCTCCATGGCATGCCCAGTACAGAGCTGTGTTTCCAGCTTTGTCTAAGCCATTGACCCCAACTCGGTTATCCAAACACTCTCTCAACCAGCTTAGGTTGCCTAAAAAACAAGTTCTGTTACTGAATTCTGTTATTCTGTTTTTTCACTGAAAGATTAACAGCATCATTAAGGTCACTTAGTTCTTTCTCCGAACGCCACAATCCTTCTATGAACGTACGAGGAGAAAAAGCGATCAGCAGCAACATTTTTAACTCATGAAACAACCAGTCCCAGTGATAACAAATCTCTCTTCTTCCACTCCCACAGGACTTTTAGGCCTCTGTACAGCTAAACGGATGACAGAAGACGTTTCTGCTGTGCTTATAATCATAGAATGGCAATTCTACTAGGCTGTGAACAACCTTAGCTTCCGAAAGCAGCAAAATTTTACCAGACGACTTCTTCAAGATACTAAATAATCAAAACAGACAACATGGCTGCTCATTTTAGGTATTATTAAAGGCATCTTGGCACAAAACAGAGAAATCTTTCTTTAGCATTACACAATCAAAGTCCAAACTCACCTCGTTTGGCAGCTTCATGCAATGGGTTATCAATAGACTCAGCTTGTTCTGCCACTGAAATGAAACAGATAGTAAACTCTAACCAGTTCTGAAACTGAACAGGCACTTGATACCTGTATGGGAATAAACTCTGCTTTGTTCTGGAACAGCCAATGGTACCTATGCAATTTTAATGTAAAAGGAGGCTTACAAGTAATGGACTAGTTGGATACACTTTCATTTCCTGTGCACGGGAAAGAAATTCAAACTGAATTTCTGAACAAAAGAAACTTCAAAGAACAGCCTCAAATTGATCAAAGGCTGCAAGTCACTAGGAATCTGACAATATTTTATCCTGGAGGTTCCTTACCCTTCTGCACTTGTAAACTATTTTTGAGCAGTTGCATGGGGGATGGTCATTGCTCTGCAATGCAGTGGCTTTTAAGCTATAGCTTGCTACATATGGTTATCAGAGGATTACTTCTGCGGGGAATGTGAAAAGTAACTAAGAACGTCCAGTGTCAATAGGCTTCCTATTTATTTTATAGAGGTTTGTATTTCTCCTGGAAAAGTTACAAGAGGTCTGCAATCTGCAAATGAAAAACTGAATTTAGTGATGGGCAGACTACAGTTCAGTAGATGTTCTCTTCACCTCGCAAACTTTAGGTTTTATTGGAGAAGAGCAGGGAAAGATTTCTGGTCACTGTGCTGTCCCAGCAGCAAAGAGAAACTGAACAGCTCTGTGGAACAGCTGGAAGTGAGGCTGTGCCTTGGAAACTCCTTTTTTGAAACTTTTTAGGTGAAAGCCTGTGACTACTACAGGTAGACAAGTAAGACAGCATCCAATCCGAGATGAGCGGGTTCTCTAAGCCTTTGCTCTACTGCTTTTAGAGGAGGTAGGCAAAATGTGAGAGGGTGTTTCTCAGGTCAAAGTGTTACTATAATCAGATGCAATGCAGGCAAATATAAGGTACCTCAGTCACGAGAAGTAAAAGTTTCAAGCCTACCATGACCTACCCAGATCTTTTCTTACTTTGGTGTGTATTGCTCACATAACGATTTATAACTGCAAGACTTCACATGTTTATCTCTTTAGTTGAGAGCAAAATAAAACGCAAATGCTATATTCTGATATTTCAGGTTAGAAAAATTCGCACGGTGAGCAGAATCCTAAAGCAGCACTGGAGAAGCCGGTCCCAGAGCAGATAGCCATTATACAAACGGAACACCCTAGTCATACTGATCAGTGCTTCTAGGCCTGGAAGAAAACATTAACATCAATCTCTGCCAATAACACTGTCTCAGAAGCCTAAAAATAACTTTGGCCTTATAAAATTATTGTCAAAAGTCAGAAGTAAGTATTTTTAATGCAGAAAGCACTAATTCTGGCTTCATCAGCGTTTCCATTTAAATCTACTTGCCAAATGTACTCCTTTGAGTCCAGCAGATGGAGCACAAGACCTCACCATAAAAATCAGTAGTTTCCAGTCTGTCTCCATCCTCCCCTATAAGGTTAGGGAAGAGCACAGGAGAATGCACTGCTTCAAGTAGCACAGGAACAGGACTGAACCTGCGCAGTCCTCAGACCGAGAAGCAGCAGAAGCAGGCTTTGACTGTTTTTGTACATTTGTCTAAATCGCAAGACACGCTTGTGTGCAATAAACATGCAACCAAGTATACCACCTGCACTCTGGAGCAGCTAGAACACCTCTGACTTGCTGTTGTGTACAGACACGTTGCTTTTATATCCCCAGGACCTTTTATTCATAGTGTCTGCATAGGTGCCTGTTCTGCTTACATACAAAGTTATTGCAAAAGTGCAGCCCGCACTTCCCCCCGCTAGCCTAAAACAGAAATGGAAGTTGGAAACTTTTGCTCAGGTAAATTTTTCAATAAAACACTCTGGAGGCAATTTTTTCAAATGATCGCAATGAAAACATATAAACAGAATCAGTAAGTTGCTTGGTTTATTTTAAATACAGGATACTTCAGTGTCTGCAAGAAATCAGAGCACAGGTTAGCATGTGTAAACCATTCTTCTAGTGTATAATAATGACTACCTCCGGCAGAGAGCTACATTAGAATCAGTCTGTCCACCACAAAGTTTCTGTCGACAAGCTGAAATTTCTCAGTAACTGCATTGTAGCCGTCTATTTATGGGTTTCTACTGACACAGCTCACCTAATCTGACCACAGTCTAGGGCAGAGAATCATACCATTGCTACCGTAATGCTTCCTAGTAAGGAAGGGAGGGACATGAAGTAAGCACACTGATAGTGACATATCGCAGTTTTGATGCAAACTGTCATGTGACACTGCTGCTCTGCCTACATCTGTTGGGAGGACTTGGAAGAATTCTGCTGGGTTGCCTGTACTCATAGCTTGTTAAAATGATTTTAGTTGAATCTGAAAAAGCAATTTTTATTTCATCTCCACAGGTCAAATAAGAATTTTTACAGTTTTATTACTATTCATATTTACCTATCTGGTTAGACAGTTTTAACACTGTGGCTTTAACAAGAAAACCTCTTCTTTCTTTTTGTGTGTGGCTGAATAGATTCTGTAACTGACAAACAAAAAAGACCCATTTCTTAAGTGGAAAAGGTCAAAGGAGGCTTACAGAAGTTCTCACAATCTGCTTCAGCTTACTCTCCATTTCCAAGTTTGCCTGGAATTCCAACACAGATTATCTATCTCTGTATACAGACAGCCCATACTATGTAGGACTTCTTGGATCTCAAAGTTCTTAAAGGCTGTGGCTGTCAAACATTAGGTCTACTGGAAAAAGACAACATGCAGAAATAGAAGAATACAGCTGACAAGCAGCTAATGAGAAAATCTTA